CGGAGGGCGCGTCGGATCTGGTACGTGAAGATCGGGCTCGACCGAACCGGCCCGCGCAGGTCGGGCTCGCTTGAGTCGCGCACGATCCGACGAGCCCTCACTAGCCCAGGTCCAAGCAGACCCGTATCGATCGACAGGAGGGCGCGTCGGATTTGGTCCGTGAGGATCGTAATAATAAATAATAATAAATTAGGATCGTGCTTGGCCGAACTGGCCCGCGCAGGTCGGGCTCGCTTGAGTCGCGCACGATCCGACGCGCCCTCACGAGCCCAGGTCCGAGCAGACCCGTTTCGATCGACAGGAGGGCGCGTCGGATTTGGTCCGTGAAGATCGGGCTCAACCGAACCGGCCCGCGCAGGTCGGGCTCGCTTGAGTCGCGCACGATCCGACGAGCCCTCACTAGCCCCGGTCCGAGCAGACCCGTTTCGATCGACAGGAGGGCGCGTCGGATTTGGTCCGTGAAGATCGGGCTCGACCGAACCGGCCCGCGCAGGTCGGGCTCGCTTGAATCGAGCACGATCCGACCAGCCCTCACGAGCCCAGGTCCGAGCAGACCCGTTTCGATCGACAGGAGGGCGCTTCGGATTTGGTACGTGAAGATCGGGCTCGACCGAACCGGCCCGCGCAGGTCGGGCTCGCTTGAGTCGCGCACGATCCGACCAGCCCTGACGAGCCCAGGTCCGAGCAGACCCGTTTCGATCGACAGGAGGGCGCGTCGGATCTGGTCCGTGAAGATCGGGCTCGACCGAACCGGCCCGCGCAGGTCGGGCTCGCTTGAGTCGCGCACGATCCGACGAGCCCTCACTAGCCCCGGTCCGAGCAGACCCGTTTCGATCGACAGGAGGGCGCGTCGGATCTGGTCCGTGAAGATCGGGCTCGACCGAACCGGCCCGCGCAGGTCGGGCTCGCTTTAGTCGCGCACGATCCGACGAGCCCTCACTAGCCCCGGTCCGAGCAGACCCGTTTCGATCGACAGGAGGGCGCGTCGGATCTGGTCCGTGAAGATCGGGCTCGACCGAACCGGCCCGCGCAGGTCGGGCTCGCTTGAGTCGCGCACGATCCGACCAGGCCTCACGAGCCCAGGTCCGAGCAGACCCGTTTCGATCGACAGGAGGGCGCGTCGGATTTGGTCCGTGAAGATCGGGCTTGACCGAACCGGCCCGCGCAGGTCGGGCTCGCTTGAATCGAGCACGATCCGACGCGCCCTCACGAGCCCAGGTCCGAGCAGACCCGTTTCGATCGACAGGAGGGCGCTTCGGATTTGGTACGTGAAGATCGGGCTCGACCGAACCGGCCCGCGCAGGTCGGGCTCGCTTGAGTCGCGCACGATCCGACCAGCCCTGACGAGCCCAGGTCCGAGCAGACCCGTTTCGATCGACAGGAGGGCGCGTCGGATCTGGTCCGTGAAGATCGGGCTCGACCGAACCGGCCCGCGCAGGTCGGGCTCGCTTGAATCGAGCACGATCTATTAGAGGCACAATCTGAGACGGTATACTTTACCACGTTGTGTGTCCTCTGGTACTTGATGTTGTCCCACCTTGTTGTGTAACATCTTGCTGTACCAACTTGCTGTACCATCTTGTTGTGGCATCTGTTGGTCCCAACAGATTGCTGATATCGCTTCCACCTGTCTTCAGTGTGATAGTCCATTCTCTGTCTCCACTGTAATAATAATAAATTAGGTGTTTGAACCTCAGAGCTGAAAGCAAAGCTGTGCAACCCCGA